CAGAGACAACCCCGTAACAATATGCGTTTTGTACTGCTGTTACACAGCACAAAACGCATAAAAACTCAGAAGCTGAAACCACTGCCTCCGTCCATTCAAATCTATTGTGTAAGACCAAGAGGAGCATTCGGAACAAGTCAACTGGAAGCAGGTCGAACAGAATGGCCCACGATGGCTACTTCTTCCGAGGACTGCTTGGATGGCTTTGACTTTGCTGGGTCCCAGTAACGATTCAAATTCGCCAAGAAAAAAAAAATATAAACTAGATGAAATCAATGCTCTGAAAACAGTGTTATCACTAGATAGCAACAAACGACACATCCGAGTAGATACGAAGCGCATTTTGAGCACGCAACGCTGAGCACCAATGCAACAAGACACAGTTTATTCATATGTACAGGAGAAACACTCTGAACAGTACAGTTGAGCAGTGATATCAAAGAACGGTGTGAATCAACTATCAGCATCAGCCGAAGCATTCTGGGCTTCCAGATCCTGAAGTTCTCCACATTCGACAACAGTCACCTGAAATGACGCATGTACCAATGCACACATTTTCAAACTGCAACATAAATAACTGATCAGGAGAAATCACGGTACAGAGAGCTTGTTTTACACGCACTACAACGCTCCACTATCTTTGAGTATCTCGTGCCGCTAGTTTTGCTTTCAGTCACATGCCAACAACAAAACCATCGATCTCCACAACTACCGAAATCGGTAACTTATCGCTGATTTACCGCAGTACGAGAAATTAAGTTGCTACAGAGGGGCCAAAGGTGGCAGCAGAGAAATTCCTTTTTCCCCACAGTTTATAAGTATCTTTTGCAAAAGCTAATGCATGGATACCTGCATCATTGGCTTGCCACTTTTGCTGCCTTGTTGCTCGACCTGCTTGACGACATTCATGCCCTCCACAACGTGCCCGAACACAACGTGCTTATTGTCAAGCCAGTCCGTTTTCTCTGTACAAATGAAAAACTGCGATCCATTGGTGTTCGGACCACAATTGGCCATTGAAACAATACCGGGCATTGTATGTTTCAGCTGAACAATACGAACAATGAAAATGCAGGAGTACGTTCAAATACCAAGAAATTATTTAGACCCAGAACACGAAGAATTCTACGTGCAAGCAATTATTAACGAATGCGCAAACCTTGAAATTCTCATCCGGAAATTT